GCATTTTCTATGCATGTTAATTTTTTTTAAATATTTAAAAAATTTTAAAGTTATTTATAGACATTTTTAATTTTTAATCTTTTTAGTTTTTTTTTTGATAAATTACAATACAATTTTAATCATTGGGTAAAAAAGCTTCAAAATTTAATACTAGGCTCCTAATATATTATCACAATGGTAGTTAAAAAATATTAAAAATACGTGAAGACAATTTTTATTAATAAGCACTGAAAGTACAAATTTCGACAAAATACGTACAAATCACGAAAATTCGCAATACATTTTGAGTTAGAAATTCATAAAAAAGTATCTTTTTAAATCTTAGGTTTGAAAATTCAATACTAGAGATTTTTCATGAGTTTGTCCAGTGTCTGCTTAACATTGTCTACTGGAAATTCAAATTAAATTTTTAGGAGCTTTTGAATTACAAAACTGGATATTCACTTAATTTCTCTTGTACCGATATTCTTATTTTGTTGTTATTCAAAAACAAATAACCTGTAGACACTTTAAATTTACACTATATGTTTATTTTATCAACTCCTATATTTGATACAATTTTATATTTGAACTATTTTTAAGTTAATTATAGACATTTGAAAAATTACGTTGTTTTAGTTTTTATTCTATAAATGTCAATAAAATGTTATTCGTTGGTTCAAAAAACTTTAAAATACAAGGTTTCCCATAACGTTATATAATAGCATGCAGTTCGAAAATTTATACATTAAAACTTTTTTTTATAACCATTAAAAGATTAAAAATCAAATTTTGACAAAAAATATCGATTGAAAATGTACACATTTTTTGATTATTAAAATTGTATAAAACATTTAACTTTTATAACAAAGAATTAAAAATTTAAAACGAAGTTACATGTAAGTAGTTAATTCTGTGGCAAAAARAACTCTTGGGGAGTTGAGGCTAATAAACCTATTTAAAAAATTTAATTTTACCTTACTAAAGATCCAAATATTATAAGAATTTTACATTTATCATTATTTAAAACTAAAACTTTATATAGAAATGTGTTTACAGTTTTTTAGATTCTGAGTTGAGCGATGAAAGTATTGATTTTACAATGATGTGTATTTTTTATTTTTTGACTGCCATCACCTTATGTGACAATAAAAATGTTTCAATTTTCTATAATTTCAGCTTCTTATTGTTTTGTAGGAAAGTGAACCTAGTTAATACCATTCAAAGACATCAGAAAAAAACAATCAAAATATTAAGGAAAAATTTGATATTGAGATTTTAACGCTAACCTAATATTCGAAAAAATGAATTTTGTATTTTTTGGCTCAAATAACCGTATACACTTGAATTTTTATATTGGCATTTTCTAACCATTTTCAAAATATTTTACGATTTTTAAACTAATTATAGACATATTATGAAAATTTGGATTTATATTAGTTTTTATTTTAAATTACAAATTATTTTGATATAAAAAATTTATACAATTTGCAATTTTCATCGCTCAAAATTAAAAATTTAAAACAAGGATCCACCTAAGTAGTTCATACTGGAATCAAAATATCTCGAAAAATATATAAAAATAATTCTTTTTTCTTCAAATTTGGACTTTCTAAATATTTTAACGAGTATTAACGATTTTAATCGTGCAGTTGTTTACATTATTAAAATATATTATAATAATACTCTATGTACACAATGACATTTTTAAATGTAATGTTTCCGGAAAAAATGAATTTAACCTACTAAAATGAATAAATTGATGATTTATATAAATATATAAATTATTTCAGTCAATAATTCAATATCACACAATATAATACTTAGTAGGTATTAGGTAGGTATAGTAGACTCACTGTTTTCGCTCAGAATTGTTTTTCACATACATTGATTTTATATTATTAAATTCAAATTTAATACATCCATTACACTGACAATATAAATGCCTAATTTACAGCAAAAAGCGTTACTCAATTACTCGCTTTTAGATTCGGAGTGGAGCGAGGAATGTATTGATTTTACCATGATGTGTGTGTGTTTTTTTTTGTGTCTCTCATCACGTTTTAGGGCAGTAAAAGTGCTTCGATTTTCGACTCCAGTTACTCGTTCGATCAGAAAGTGAATCTAGTTGGTACTTTGGGGGGTCAAAAGTAAAAAATTCTTTTAAACTAGAAATGCATAAAAAATGTTCTTTTTAAATCCAAGATTTGAAATTTTGTAATAATCTATAATATATCCTTGACAGATAAACCGTCTCCGCTCAGAATCGTTTTTCGTATACAATGATATAATATTATTGGATTCAAATTTAATTCCATCCATTACAGTAACCTGCTATACAGCAGAGTGACATCCGTGAATTACTCTCTTTTTTTAATAATTAAATCATTGATTTTTACATTTAATGGAAGTTATACCCTCACATATAGTCTCTATCTTAGTAATGTATGACATTGAAAATTTTAGATGAAAAAAAATCTGTTTTATATATCCTTATTCCTTTGTTATTTTCACTTTTAGAATGATTTGACTWATTATAAAATTTAAAGGCATACAGAAAGTATAAACTATCTATAACTTCAAAAGTTTTTTTTTTAATTTTAATTTTGAACTATGTTATGATAATTTTAAAATTGTCAATTTTTTTCAATTCTCAATCCTCATAACTTGCTTCAAAACAAAAATATCAAAAATATTACTTCTATAGATATGCTATAGATAATATATTTGTCTTTAAATTTGATAATAGATCAATTCACTCTAGTATTAAAAATAACAGAGCAAAATGATTTCTATTCAAGTAAAATTTGATGTTAAGAACTACGAGTTTATAACTATTATGATTTATGACGTTATGTGCTAGTTATTAGACGGAAACATATTTCAGGAAGTCAAAAGTCTACAGCACAATATTATGGTTGTCTTAATATGATGTGGAACCACGTGGATTAGGGTGTAATGTTACATTTATATTTACTATAAATAAAATACCGATACTATAAAAAATTTTATAATTATATTTAATTGGTAATGTCATAATGATCAGGATACGGGATATAATAATACTTAGATTTTTCGCTAAGATAAAAATAAATTACATGGAAAAATATTTCTATGAAACTAATACAAATGGAAAAAACAATATAAAAATATAAAATAACTTAAATTATTTTGTTTTGCGTTATGTTTTAATAAATGGTATATTGATATTTTATGTATTTTGTTTCGCGGTAATTTATTTTTTTCATTTATAATTTTCTATTATAATTATATTTAACAATATTTCAACCATTTTTATCATGGCACACCATTGTTATAATATTTGGAAGCTCTAATTGTAAATTATTACGGACATAATAAATATATAGAAGTGGGAGTAACTTCAATTTTTGAAATTTATTTTTATTTTCTACCTCTGAAATATTAATCAGATTTTA